TGACGAAAGACGCGGGAATTAACGCACCGCCGGACATTTCTGAAGAAACTGATGCGGAACACGAAGCTACTCGAAGCGATGGAGTGGCAGAACTTCTATTGCTAGAAGTTGAGGGGGATGAGGAAGCAGATCGCTGGAAGGCTGGAGTAGTGTGTTGTTGTTCACTGTCAAAGTACAGATTATTTGGAAGCGGCTGATCTTCTGGAATGCTGGTTGTGGCGGCAGAAGATGGAAGTGGGAAACTTGAACTCCGTTGGAACCTTGAATTTCTGTTGGCAGAACATTCCGTCTGATCCAGAAAAGAACTGATGGCTTTTCGCGGAACACGTTGAGGAGGAACTGGTGAGTCTGGCGGCAGTCCTTGTGACTTTCGTTCCATAAAACGTGGCTGATTCGCATGGCGCTGCTACCATGTGACGAGGCGAATGGGTTCGAAAGTGGGGGAGTTTGATGTTCAGATTAAAAATAGAATAGTGTCCCAGGTACGGACAACTAGTTAATATGAAGTTAGGGTCAAGTCTAACACTTGTGAAGTGATCAGCTGGTATCTACCGGAACCTACGAGATGCCACTCTGAAACTTGAACACGTAAAGCGAATCGTCATCCATGACATTCCTCTCATCATCTGTGACATCCCCCTCATGTACATTTCACCATTAGCTGTCTACGCTTAGCGGCTCCGGTCGTCAGATCTCACATCTATATTTGTATCTCTTTCTGTTTGGTGGAAGTTTTCCAAAGTTGGTCACAAATATTTTTTTATCAAACTGATGGTCACAATTAAAACCAATTTTCACTGACCGATAAACCATTTTTGATCTTTTTTGACGGGCGACCAAAAAGTAAATTGAAACAGTTCAACAGGAGAAACAGAAATATGCATGAAATTGAATTGTTGCATGCAGCGTCTTGCCGGATCAGAAGTCTTTTGTTTCCCCCAATTGCGCTGATGCTCGTCCATGCAATATCAACATTGACACATCGAGGACTCGGTGAATCCTCAGCACTGGAGGCTTCTACACCCCTCACTCAATGCAGTGATGGCGACGAACCAAGCGGGCATCGGAGCTTCCATCCCAAACCCTCCACGATTTATACTCATGAAGAAGTATCGAAGCATAATTCTGATGATTCATCTTGGGTTATTTATGATGGAAAGATTTACGATGTCACGGATTATGTTGTTGGCGGTTTCCACCCTGGAGGATCCCAAGTTCTTCGTGATACCGTAGGAGCAGATATGACGGAAGCGTTTAACGATATCGGACATTCTGCATCAGCAAATCATCAATTGGATTCATTTTTCATCGGATATCTCGAAGGAAGTGGGAAACTCGAAAGTGATTCTCAGCAGAATGGGTATCAGGATCCTCCAGTCCATCATCATCGAAATCGGATGATTGGAAAACTTGACTTAAGGAAGCCATTGGTAGCACAAGTCTATCGTCTAACAAAACAGGAGTATATTGATCTATCTGTCGAATTTTTCTGTTCTACAGAAGTTTGTGATTTCTTCTCATCTCCATATCTCGAGATCTTCTCCAGAACTGTCTGGTGGGTCGTTCCATTAATTTGGTTACCCGTAGCAGGAATCCTCTTCCTTAATGCGATTTCCGTCTTTGGTTTGTCGTTGTCGGAGGCAGTTTCCTGCTTGATTCTGGGGATAGTCTTCTGGTCGATCGCCGAATACACTCTACATCGATTTCTGTTTCATTTCGACGAATCTCTCCTGCCTGATTTCGGTGAAGCCCGTGTTGTTCATTTCTTGTGTCATGGCGTTCATCACCTTCTTGCTATGGATCCTATGCGTCTTGTCATGCCCCCGGCACTTTTTGCTATTCTGGCGTCTCCGTTCTATATTGTTTCATCCTTGGTTCTCCCGCCGTGGCTCAATCGGGCGTTGTGGCCTGGAATTTTAGTTGGGTATATAGCTTACGACATGATACATTATGCTTCTCATCACTGGCCTGTTGATTCCATTCCTTTTCTCAAGTTTATGAAGGCGTACCATATGAAGCACCATTTCAAGGAGCCCTTAAAGGGGTTCGGGGTATCAACCCCAATTTGGGACTATATGTTCGGTACACAATTATAGCGATCGCATTTTAGTACACTAACTCTATACACCGATGACTCGTCAGTTTTACTTTTTCGATTTAACTTCTCAATTTTGTTATCTGTTGAACTCCGCTTCTTTTCTGTTCGTCATTCAAACTCACTCAAAAGTCGCTGAGAAAAAAACGCCAGCGATTAAATCTCGATTTTCTTTTCCGTGAATTCGAAATGAATTCCTTCGCTTTCCATTCCTTGCATGAAGCCGTCGCTATGGCGGAATGTGTACCCAGGAGTGAAAACCCCAGCAGAAGGGAAAGAAGGATCCTGAAAAACAGAGAGTGAGGATAAACGGCTCAAAGCACGAATGGAAGGATCCTCAACACGAAGCAGGGCTCCTCATTTGAAAATGTATCATAAGAAGAAGAGAGCCACAAGGAGGAGAGAGTTGAATCTCACATTTCTCTCTCTTGCTTTGATGATTTGGATTGCTGCTAAAGTAATGAGAGACGATGTTGCTATATATCCGGGTTCCGGGCCCTTAATTCTAAGTGTGATCTGACGGTCTGGAGACTTGTTCTCTGATTCGACAATCTTAGATCTGTCAGAAAATCTGACAAGACATAAGGTATAAATGATGAGAAAGAGTTGATTGATAGATAACAAGACATAAGATATAAATGATGAGAAAGAGTTGATTGATAGATAACAAGGCAGAAGATATAAATGATGAGATAGAGTTGATTGATAGATAACAAGACATAAGATACAAATGATGAGATAGAGCCGATCGAACAATGGATAACAAAGTCATCGCAGTCTTACCCCTTGCCGAATATTGTCATTTCGAATTTAGTGTGTTGAAGTTGTTCTTCCGTTGGCCCTGTAAGCTACAAGATGATTCACATCTTCTCCTATCGCTCACCTTCATGAGAGAAAATTCCATTGGTGAAGAATTTGGGGTACTTTAAAAGAAGATTGCGGCCCCCGTCGTACTGGGATAGGAACTGAAAAGTTCCTCCAAACATCATCTGGGACATGGAAACCGGGATAGAGGAAGAGCCACTGGAATGCATCAAGGATCTCACCACGTTGAGATTCATACCATTTTTGCGTTATTCATGATGGAATTTTCAATCTGAGCGAAAGAAGGGCTTCAACAGATAAAATCTGCAACCCTACAGTGAAATAAAGTCCCAATTGAGGAGCGATGTGGTGAGAGTCATTTCTTGTTAATTGTTCTTGTGTTCGCCGAATCTAGAAGACAGATCTGAGTAGAGAGCCATACAAATCAATTACTAATCCCTTACCACAGCAGCATCGGATCCCATAAACAAGTAGCAAGAGGAATTTGGGACACGCTGATCTGTGAATGGCCCGCGTTTCACTTCAAGCTTCGGACCAATCGTTTTCAGCTTTGGTACTTCAGTCTGAAAATTGGAGAAAGCTAAAAGCTGTCGATTTCATCAGTACTTGTCTTCGTAAATTTTTGAGTTCTTCAACACTCCCGAATCCCAGCACTGCTGCTTCATACGTCGTGTAATGAAGACCGACACCTGAAGTGAAATCATCAAGCAGCACACCAAAAACAACGAACCCTTCTCTCCATTGCAGGAGACAAAAGATTCTGCTGTGGCAAGCAATCCATCTGGCTCGAATTGTTGTGCTAATTTGACGACGCCTATGCAGAAGGAAACTGAATGTTCAGCGCTAATAAACATTTCCTACCAAGATCAGCAGGAATTGAATCAAATCCGCATGACTCCACAATAAGACAACCTGACGAATAAGGCAATACAAAAACACAAACGAGAAGAACACACCCCAATTGAAGCAGTGCATAACACGAATAATTACCGGCTTCCGTTGCAGCTTGATGATACTTTTGTTGAACTCTTTCCAAAAACTGAACCACATAATTGGACAAATACAGGGTTCTTTTGCTTTCGGCTTACTTCGGGTTCACCGCATAAATCCACCAAATCTGCAATAAAGGAGCTTTTGATCAATTATTTCGTACAAGATTGCGCACCTGTCGAAGTAGCGATGCAAGCCTTGATGGCTGGCTCTCCAAGTGTTCGATACTGCAGTATTGATAAAGAGGTTTAACCTAAAGAAGTTTACAACTAGCAACTCACTGGACCAACGAGATTGATTAGCATCTTGGTCCTTGCAGTCATTGACTTCATTGATTCTATGCCGCAATTCTTCAAATTTCTATTTTGAGTTTCTTCCTCACCTTCATCACTAATGTCCGCTTTGATTATTTCAGGCTTTTGAGTCACGGCCAAATTCTTCAATACATTTTCAAGCTTCTTCTCATCCCGTCCAGCGACTCCCCTTTAAATCAACTCATTTTGAACAAGAATATTTGTTTACTCACCATTTCAATCCAGTGCACAATCGAGACACGGCTTGAACCACTCTCTGTCCTGTTAAAATGATCACCAGTATTCAAATCACATTCATGATCTTCATCCCACCTGTGAACCCTGATGCTCCAAAAACAACGAGATCTAAATTTTTCTCTCCCAAACTCATGATAAGTGCGACTGGTGGACGTTTGTGTCGCAGAAGTATTTCAAGGAATTCAATTCTTTAAGCTCAACAGATGTCTCAAGAAGATTATGGTTAAACTGTGACTCAAATCATCATGGGACAGCGGATGAATGGGATTGTTTGATTGCCTGTGTTTTGAAATGTGCTCGGAAGCGCGACTGCAGGCTTCAACAACTCGGTAGTTTTCTCAGGGGTATCGGAATGGTTTCGAGTGCTCCACCCTACCAAAGGAACAACCAAAGAACAACAAAAGCAAAAAACAAGGAACAAAACAACTCGTTCGTTCTTCAAAAATAGTGGATCTTTTCGGAAAAAACCAACGCGTTTGATGGCTGACTATGATGACGTGATCTAAGCTGCTCGCCGTAAAATACGGTTGTCTATATTATTAAAATAATTTGGGTTGTTGAATATCCTGTGAGCTTTGTAATTCCTCTATCACTAAGGAGTGCAACAATTCAATATGGGATTTGGAGTCATTGAGTGCTGGTATGTAGTGAAGTTTTTCACCGCCTGCCTTCAGAAATTGCGACTGTGCCTCATCCGCGATCTCCTCTAAGGTCTCTAGGCAATCACTTGAGAACCCAGGAGTAACGACTTGCAGATGACGCACTCCATCTTTAGCCAGCTGAGAAATAACGTTGTCAGTGTAGGGGCCGAGCCATGATCCATAACCAAACCGTGACTGGTAACTGAGGAGATAACGATCCTGCTTCAAGGCCAAGCCATTGGCTACTGCATCTGTCGTAGCTTGGCATCGCTGAGGGTATTCGTCGCCTTGACGCACATACTTTTGAAGAATCCCATGATACGAAAATAGAAGCTTGTCAGGCGTTCCATGGGTGGCAAAAGAACTCTCAATCTTTTCTTGCAAAGCCCAAATGAATTGAGGATGGGTGGCGTAGTCGCAAATAAAACGAACCTCTGGAAGGTTTCGATGATTGCGCAAAGCTGAGGCAAGTGCGTCCCATGCTGCTGCGGTTGTGGAACTACAATATTGCGGGAAGAGCGGAAGCACAATCAGGCGCTTGACACCTTGACTTAAAAGTGCATCAACAGATGCTGCAATTGAAGGGTCTCCATAAGACATTCCGATGGCTACTGGGATGTTTGGCCCCAATTGAGTTGCAAGAGCTTGTTGCTGTCTTTGACTATAAACGAAGAGGGGAGATCCCTCATCCATCCAAATCGCTTGGTAACGCTTTGCCACTTTGGAACATCGCAGTGGGAGTATAACGCCATGGAGAAGAGGTAGCCACAAACAAGGACTGACATCAACCACCCGACGATCACGCAAAAATGGAGCGAGAAACTTCCTAACAGCCGTTGGTGTTGCGGCTGTAGGAGTCCCAAGATTGACGAGTAAAACTCCCGCTGGAACTTCAGTTGCATTATCTGAACGTAAAATTGATTCTGATTTTTTGATCTTCATTTCTCTGTAAGTCCGTTGCTAAAAAAGCGTCAATTTGAAATTCAGCTCATTCTTTCATCTCACTCGATTGACCTTGGTCCTTGCAGTCATTAGCCTCATTGATTCTACGGCGCAATTCTTCAGATTCTATTTTTGAGTTTCTTCCTCACCTTCATCACTAATATCCGCTTTGATTATTTCAGGCTTTTGAGTCACGGCCAAATTCTTCAATACATTTTCAAGCTTCT